ATTATGAATCTAATTTATTTTAATTAATAAAGTATATATATATAATTTATACAAATTATTATATTTGAAAATTTAACTGTTTCACAATTTATTATAAAAATATCTATATAAATAAATTTATTTTCAACGTTAATAAGAAGCATGATCAAATTACTAATTGAAGAAAAATATATATTCAAAAATATAATTAATATTCAATAATATAATTACTTGAAGTAAATTAATAAGAAATTAAAATAAACTATGATTGGTTAAAGAAAAAATCACGTGCGTTATGAATTCTTTAAGAATTCAAAAAAATGCATCTATTGTCTTTGTTAAATAATTTTATAAAATTTTATTATAATTTTTAATTATCATATTTTTTATAATTTTAATTTATAATTTTATAATTTATTATACTTTTCAATTCTTTTTTGTAACAAAAATTCATTCAATATATGTTCAATATATGTTTATTTATGTATTTCAATTTTTTATATTTATGTCTTTCATAATTTTATATCTAAAATTCTTTTAAGATTTTATATAAATTAATTAAAATTAAAATATTTTCAAAATATTTTCTATAACTATTGATTTTATATTTTATATTTTTATATTATGTATTGACTTTATTATTTCTTAAGTTTAATTAAAATTTAATTATTCAAACTTATTTATGAAAATTTAGAAAATTTTATATATAATTAAAGTATTATTTTCGTATTATTTATAAATAATTTATATATAAATTAATAATTACAATAATATATAATTAATTTTTAAATTCATTACTATTTTCATTGCTATTTCATTGATATTTTTATTTTATTAAATAAATGAAAAGGTTTTATCTAAATTTTATTTTAATAAACAAGAAATAAATCTGAAATAAATCTGATCCATAAATGACATATTATTCAAAAAGATAGAAATTTCTGTAACGAAATTGCATAATTATCATCAATAACGTGACCCTATGCGGAAAGCGCATCCATTGTTAGAAACGCATCAAAATTAGATCATGTGAACACGTGCACCATGAAATGAATCCAAATTTGATTTCTGACATTCTTCACGTCATTTTGCTTATTTATCAATTTATTTTTTCTAAAATTAAAATATAAAAAGAAATAGAACAATTTATATTATATAAATTGATAGATATAAAATATTAATCAAATAATATGATATAAGTCCATTTGTAATATTGATATTATGAAATATTAAAAAATATAATAATAAATATGATTATATGTTAATTTATATAAATAATATAGATATTATTTCATTATTTAAAATATTTAATTATATATGTGCAGAATATTATATTATTATATATGTGCAGAAATATACAGTATGTCTCAAAAATATATGGCTATTATATAATTATTATAAAAATATATGAACATTTCTGAGATAATTTCAAGTAATATTTATAATATATATATATATATATATATATATAATATTTATATAATTTTTCCTTTGCAAAAACTTTCGTTATGATTTTTATTAACAAACTATCAAAAAATATTAATAGTATTCATAAAGTGCCATAGTCAAATCAAGACTAATTAGCGTTAAGTAAGAGCACGAATAAATTCAACATATGTCATAGAAAATTTCTTGAATATAACAAATATTTTTTTATCGAAAAAAAATTATAAAAAAAAAGAATTACATTATATTTAGAAACAATGAATAAACTAAATAATTATTATAGGACGAATAAATCGAAATGAATATCAAATTAATACAAAAAGAAGAATATAAAATTTTTCTAACAAATGAATGATAAATAATAGAACGGAGAAAAATGGAGAAAGAGAAATTGATAAAAGACGCAGAAGAAAGAATTGATAAAAGAGAGAAAAAATTGATAAAGAAGAGAAGGAGAACAAAAAAGATGGAGAAAAACGATAAAAGAGAATGATGACTATAAATACGTGATGACTATATAAAAGAGAGAAAAAAATGACAAAGAAAATGAGAATGAAGAGAATGGTAAAAGAGAAAAAGAATGATAAAAAAGGAAATTCTATATAAATAAGATGATTTATGTTCTATATGAATTAATACAATTAATTAATTTATTTATTATTTTTGAATAAAAGATAATTCGATATAATTTTTTTGATAAAAAAATATTTGTTATATTCAACAGATTTTTTCATATATATTATTTGGACTTGTTCGTATTGCGGTACATATCTAAAACTATTGTTGTCTACTTAATTAGTTTACAGTGGTTCATAATTAATATTTTTTGTTAATAATTCATTAACAAGGCTGTAACGAAAGTTTTTGCAAAGAAAAATATTGCTTGAAATTATGTCAACAATTTCCAGTTAATTGATCATATTTTTGGAAAATCCTATAATATCCTATATAGTTATATTTATTAACTAACTATTAGTTATATTTATTAAAATAGATTTAAGATATAACATAAATATTTTTTACAATTAAATTAATTTAAAGTATTAGCATTAGTATTATCGAATATTTATTTATTATAATTCATCTAAAATGATTTTACAAAATTATACAGTAAATAAAATTTTTTAAAAATTTATTTTAGAACTTATTAGAACTTATTGTAACTATATTATGTTGTTATATAACTATGTTATATAATAGTATTTATTTTTTTTTTAGTATGTTTTATTTTGTTCTGTATTTTAATTAATATGTTTTATAATGAGAAGCATTATATTATTATATTCCTTTATTCTAGAAAAGCTTCGAAGTTTTGCTATGAAGCATTTCAGCGCCGACGCTCAAAGCATTGATCCAAAGCGTCAGCTTGCAGTTATGGATATAGTACATATTACCAGATTCGAATTAAAGATCCACCCTCACAATCAATATATACAAACTTACAAGATATATGATATGTTGGATAAATTAATAATTTATTGTAATTATTTATTGTATATTTTTTAAAAAATATTCTTCAAATATGTATTACATTTACTGTATTAATAAATATAAAATAAGAAATATTATCAATTATAATAACGCATTTAATATATTATTTAATTTATATAAATTTGATAAAAATCTTTTTTCTTTTATGGTATAATTTTTTATTCTCTATTGTCTAGTATTTAAAAATTCTTTTTATATATATTTTATATATTCATTCATTTTCCAATTATTAAAAAAATTATAGAAAAAAACATAAATAAATTAATAAATATATTTAATATATTTTAAATATATAAATAGAGAATATAAATAAATAGAGAATATATAAATAGAGAATATTATTAAATATATTTAATAATAATTTTAATATAATAATATTGATATAATATAAATAAATAAATGATATCTAAAATTCTCATTTCAATAAAAAATAAAATTCTATTTTCATAAAAAAAGAAAAAAGAATTTAATTAAATTATGTTTTAAAGTAATAAAATAAAACAAAGTAGAGATGATAAACATGCAATAATAATACTGTGGCAGAGAAAAAATAACACTAAAAAGAGATCCTAATAAGAAATGCTTACTTGTGATCGAATATTAATAACTTTATGCACCCCGAATTCTTGAAGCAAACACAATGAGATTTGACACGCAGAGAGCATGCTGGATGTTTATACGCGTTCAAAGGGAGAATTTAGTGTCAAGTGAATCGGCTAATATCTATTTAATTAATTCGGGGGATCGCACTCCCTCGGTTAACAATATGTTACCCTTCTGAGAAGATTTTGTTATGGTCTTTTGAGTGATCCTGTTAGAAACTTAATTTATGAAACAATTTATCTCCAAATAGATATAAAGAAATCATAATAATTTAACTTGCAAAATATTTTATTTGTAATAATTTTAGAAATGATCATAAAAGAAATAATCATAAAAAAATTTATATCTTAATAAATTGATTTATATTTTAATTTACACTTTATAAAAAATTAATTTATTTGTTATAATAAAACTTTTTTGAAATATATTTTATGAAATATATTATTGAAATATTTTTGTACAATTTGAAAAGAAGTTATGTATTTATATATTATATATTATATTGTTTAATAGATTATTTTTTAGTAAATCAATTTTCAATACTTAATACTTATTTAAAATATATATAAAATTTATATTTAATATGTTAACAAAACTTGATACATTTCATTTAGCACATGTATTATGCTGTAATACTTGAAAGAAAATTAAATGTGTATTATACATATGTTTAATCATTATTAAAATGATTAAACATATTAATAATTAAATAATTCTTTTCGCTTAAAGGTATATAAAAAGTAAATCTCCATAAATATAGATTATATAACAAAAAATATAAGATATATAATATTAAAAATTTTATCATAGAAATAAGAAAAACAATAAACGTAGATTTTTAATTAAAAACATTTTAATAATAATAAAATAATAAATATTTTCCTCTGATTTTATCATTTTTACAAATATTAATCTCTTTTTTAATAAATTATAATCATATATATTGAATATAATTAAAATCTTTTTAATCTTGTAGTTGTGATGAAAAAATGAAAAATAGAAACTAAAAAAACTCAGAAAAATGTAGATTAAAAAAAAATATATAAAAATATATAAAAATATATAAAAGTTTTCTATCTTTAACATATCATTCATATCACGGTCGATAATCCTGATATTGTTTAACCTCAACTTTTACAAAACAAGGCAAATCATGAAGGTTACTCGAAAGCTCCACCCCTTTATAAGTATCTATCCAATGATCATATTTCACCCAAACTGATTAAGGGTGAAATGCTCCAATGGGGCGCAGAGATCACGGCGCAAGCGTTCAAGAATAGTGAATAACAGTGGTTTTAGAGGATTGCTTTGAAAAAGGGGCGGGTTCGAAATTTACCGAAATCTCGGAGTTCAATTCATAGACGAGGATATCTTCGGAATCAGATTGAAGGTGACAGTTGTACCAGTGACATTTTATTTTCCTTCATTGTTTTTTTTTTAACTTGAAAAACGAGACGAAGTGTTCTTCCTGCGTTCGCCGCTGGACAGAATCCGGGATATGAGCTACACCGAATCGTTGTGGGAGATTAATGGAAATCAAACACCAGTGAGTATAAATAATCAAAATTGATTTAATTTTTCAACATCTATATAAATATGAAATACATATATGAAAATATGTTTAATACATTTCAATATATTCAATATATCAATATATTTTTCAATATGATATTTTTCGGAATAATATTTAATAATTAAGCAAAATCATGATATTTATATTGTATGATTGAAAAATTTGACTTTTTCTTAATATTTTTTAAATATTTGATACTATATTTGATTCTTTAAATCTTTAATTTTAATTATATAATAAACGATAATATTTAATATAATTAATAAATATAATTAATTAATGATCTTTTTTTATATTGATAAAAAAACAGTCTGCAAATAAATATAAACATAAGTAAATGAAATAGGTGATTACAGCGGATATGTCGCAATACGTCAGCGGCGAACTTGGAAGCTATCCGATGTGGGACAGTTCTGTTTTATACCAAGCACCACCTCCATCACATTCTCACGTAAACGAACATGGATTATATAGACAACCTTGTGCATTATTACATCAAAGGTAATTATTTTTATATTTCATTGTTATAAATCCTTTTTTTAATATATTTTTAATTTGCACGATAATAAATTAAGAAAATGATTTTAAACTCTGGAAAATTTCAAATTTTAAAAGAACAAAAATATTTTATCAATTATATATTAATTAAAATAATTTTAGTCGTTATACACCTAATGGTAGATCTCCGAATCTTCCATCATCTACTACAAAGAAACCAAGACGTCGTGTAGCAACTGTTTCACAAAGAAGAGCAGCCAATATCCGTGAAAGGCGAAGAATGTTTAATTTGAATGAAGCCTTTGATAAATTACGTAGAAAAGTGAGTTTATATGTATATTTCTAAAAATTCATATATTTAATTTCATATATATATATTATATATATGTTTGATTTTTAGAAATTAATAATTTAAATTCAAATTTTATATTTTATACTAGTTTTTGACTTCCATAATATAATATATATATATATAATAGTTATATTAAATTAATTATAAAATAAACTTTCATATTTTAATGAGAATTATTTTTTATTATTATTCATTATGTTTCTTATCATTTTTTATTATTCTTCAGGTACCAACTTTCGCTTATGAAAAACGGCTCTCGAGAATTGAAACTCTGCGTCTGGCTATTACATATATTGCATTCATGGGAGAGTTACTTGGAATCGAATCGAATAGTCCAAAACCAGAATATATTCCAAGGGAATATTATTTGCCGAATTAAAATTGAAAAATGTTCAAATGAAAACAAAAACAAACTTTTAAAAATTAATTATTTATATGTAAATTATTTTATGATGTTAGTACTTTGATTTTTTTTAAAAATGAAAATTAATGCACAAATATATAAAAAACATGATAAATGATTAATTAAAATATTAAAAAATTTAAATAATTTAAATGTAAAATTAAATATTTTAAAAAAATTGATACACAAATGAATATATTTCTTGAAAAATAAGTTAACAAAAAAAAATTGAATTTTTTTTTTGTTAACTTTAAATGATATTTAACTTTTATTTCTTTTTTTCTTATATCTATAAAAAAAAGTTAATGGCCTTCAAAATCTGATTTTAACATTCATTCACATATATATATATATTTTTTTTTAATATTTTAATGTAAATGCAAATTTTTTATTTTATAAGAATATTTCAAAATATATTCATTTAAAAATCGAAATCAATTTTTTATCAATTTTTTTATTTTTGAAAAATCATAAATAATTAATTTCATGTAATAATTCGAATAATTTTAAATATTTAAATATTTAGCGATAATTATTAATAAATATTTAAACTAATAATTAAATATAATTAAATAAAATATAATTTAAATTAATAAATATATAAACTTTAGTTACTTCTTGTATAAACAAAAATATCAAGTGCAAAATATATTTTAGAATATAATATTATATGTGTTTAAAATTAAGATTAACGTATATATATAAATATTATAATCAAATGATAAATAAATTAATGTAAGCGTAGTTAAGTATCCTGTTGAAAAAGCATTAACTAACACTTAATGTTTATGTGATTCTACAAAATAAGATAAAAATGTCTTCCATAATTTATATAAATCTACTTATTATATATTATTATCATTATATCTAAATATAAAATGTACAAACACTATCATTTATGTATTACTTTCTTTAAAAAAAAATAAACTTATAAATTCATTGCTTGTCAAAATAAATTAGTAAGTAGTAACTAAAACAATTATTATTATAAATATATGATATTTAAAAAAGAATTTTTAAAAAGATTATTATAAGAAATATTAAAAATAATTTACTAAATAATATAAATTATTATTTATTTTTAAATAAAAAAATTCTGATTTAATCGATACAAATTTTTGAAAAGCGATTGCTCGATATCGAATTGAGATTCGAGAATACATTTTAAATAATTCTTCTGAAGCAATATTCACATCAGTGAAAAAAATTTTCTGCAATTGAACAAATGTCGCTTATGCGGTGCAAATCAATTTTCGGATTAATTACACTCTTTTGTTTAACTAGAAATATCACTGCCAATACTTATAGAAACATGAGTAGTCTTGCTGGAATTCATTCTGTGACATATGTCACAGTTCCAACACAAGATATTGCTAAAAAATTGGCTCAGTAAGAATTGACATAATCTATTGAAAAAGAATCTATTTTTATAAAATAATTATGGTTATATATATTTACAGTGGTTTGATCAAAAATAAATTAGCCGCATGCGTCAATATTATACCAGGACTTACATCAGTGTAATTATATTCAATGTTAACGCAAATTGGAATATTTTTATTTCATTTAAAAATATTATTATTTATATTTCAGATATGAATGGAAAAATGAAATAAACGAAGATAGCGAACTTTTACTGGTAAAATATAAAGAATAATATATCAAATTTGTTAATATAAATTTTATATTTCTTATTTCAGATGATAAAAACTAGAACTGATACAATAGATGCTTTAACAAAATATGTAAAGTAAGTATATACATATATATATATATATATATATATATATATATTATATACATATATATATAATATATATATATATATTAAATTATTAAAATAAATTAAATTATGTAAAAATTAATTTTAAATTAATTTTAAATAGAGAGAATCATCCATATGAAGTTTGTGAAGTAATTTCATTACCTGTAAGTAATGAATTTTTAAATTACATTTAAATTACATTTACATTAATATTTATTTTTAATTACATTTATATTAATATAAATAAAAATTTGTAGATCCAAAATGGAAATGAAAAATATCTCCAATGGATAAGTGAGATTGTTCCCCCTATTAATCAAAGAAAAAAATAAAATTAGATTTTTTTAAAATGAAAAATTCTAACATATAATATATTATGATAAAAATATTTATTTATTTTGCTATAAAATAACATGATTGTTTGTTATTAACTTTTCATTACTATGAAAAGTTATATTACGCCTTTAAGAAAAAACAATAAAATTCATTCAAATACAAATTAGAATTATTACAATTGATTTGAACACATTAATAAGCGTGTATACATGTATAAACAAATAATCAAACGTTTATAATGTAGTCAGTTGTATAAATCTTATGTTACATATGTGTAGAACTTGAAATTGTATAAGTCCAAAAATTAATATAAAAATAAGTACTATAATAATTAATTGGGTATATATATATATTTTTTATTTTTTATATGTATGTTTCTTCCTTGAAGAGAATTCATTTTTATTATTATGTAATTAGTACTATCAGTCAATTTATTAAAATAAATATATAATAATAATAAAAATGTTATTAATAGTGGACTATGGCAACAAATTTTTTATATCATTAATAGTTACCACAATGTTTTGAAGTTACTAAAATTTCAAAATATCCACCCTGTAAGTGTATATTGTAGTAAATTTGTCATTATCTAATGTAATTCATCACTAAAACATAAATTATATCTAGAAATATCATTTAATAAAGTCTAAGCATGTATGTAAATTCATATTTGAAATATAATTATTTTTTACAAGTTAATGTTATCTACCACCCTCATATCCTGGATAAAGTAATAATAGAGTCGATGATAAAAATTGATTAATTTCCATTTTATAATTTTTGTCTAACAAATGACGACATGATGGACAACAATTTACACCTGATGAAAAACTACGTTTTAAACAATTAACACATATATTATGTGTACATGGAATGGTGACAGGATTATAAACAAGTTCCAAACAACACGGACATGTAAACCTGCAATTTAAAAATTATAAAAATTTTAAAATATAATATTTATTAAAATAGTATACAAATATATAAAAATGTACCTTTCTGAAACTTTTTGCAAAAATATAGTTTTACCATCCGGTAAAGCTTTACGACATTCGTCCCATAATTTTACATTTGTTTTATCTTGATTGATATATTTTAATATTTCAGTTTCCAATTCATAAATTTCGCACTTTTGCTTTTTTTTTAATGGTTCTTCATTTTTTGAAAAATTAGATTTTTCTTCTTCAGCAAATACATTTCGTTTCTTATTTGTTTTATTATTTTTTGCCATTGCTTCAAGATATCCATCTGGATACATTGGTTTTAAACCTAGAGCTTTTATCCGTGCTTTACCTTCATTAGTCCATGGTGCAGGTGCAGGATCATCTCTTCTTAATAAATATCTCCATACACGAAAACCACTTTTACCTGTATCAGGGTAATATTTTACTACCTTGTATATACCATCATACCTATAATAAAAATTTTTATGAAATTTATTATTATTAAAACTAAGTATTATTTTATATGTATATAAACAGAAATATTAATTATAATTATTATACCTATTTCCTTCTTCTGGTGCATATTTGCTATGCTTAGCAAGTTTAAAGTTTCTCACAACTCTTACAGGTATACCACCTCTCCAATCTTCAGCTGTAGCACCAATTGTTGCATTAAGTTTTGCATTACAATTTACAGCTAATGCTTTATTCATTCTAGTTAATGTTTGGTCACAACTTTGTTCTGCTGTTCTTTTATTTCCTTAATAATATATAATATAATATATTAATTTGAATATATTTATTTATAATCAAATATCTTACCTGATAGATCTCTCCCTCCAGAACCAGTATAAATAAATTCATCGCCATTATCAATATCATCCTCATATCCTCCAGATAATACAATAGAATATGCACAATCTGTTTCTCTTCCATGAATTCCAGCTATATGTGGTCTATGTACTCCAACTTCAGATACCTATTATTAATTTTTAATAATAAATTTTATAAAAATATATAAAAATTCTTAAAATTAAAGATTTATAATTAAAAATTTGGTTACTTGTACTCTATACATCCAACACATTCCAACTTCTACTCCTGGAATAGGTCCACGATGATTAGGTGGAACTATACTACATTCTTTTGTTCTTCCTACACAAGCCATTCCTTTACCCCAATCTCTTTTACTATTACTATTTTCATTGGTTTTCTTTTTCGTTTGTTTAAGTTTATCACCTGCCTTTAAAAAATGAAGATTTATAAAATTATATATAAATGTTATAAAATAAAATTTTTTTATATAATAATTAACCTTCACAATTTCATTTTCATCATTTTTACATTCTGGACAATACCAATAATCTTCTTCAGGTATAGAAGATAATGGAGGATTTAAGCATCTTAAATGGTATGCAGAATTACATTCATCGCATAAAAGAAGATTATGTTCATCTTCTTTTCCAGCACAAACTCTGCAACCACATTCTCTGCACTTTTTACGAGGATTGTCTAAACATGCATTACAAATAGCTTGAACACGTCTTCGTTTACCATTACTAATCATATGTTGTTCATCTTCAGGAGTTCTGTCTTTGAGAAGTTTTGGTTCTTCTATGGCAAAAATCTCTCCCCTAGGATTCACTTTATGATTTTCAAGCAACTGATCCCTTTTCAAATAAATATTTTAATCATACATTTATTTTACTAAAAAAAAATTAAATATTAAAATCATTTAATGAAATTCACCTTCCAATATGCAATGTCCCAATAAGTTCCTGTACTCTTCTCTTTTTATCTATTTTCAAAACTGTGAAATCATACCATAATCCAGTCTCTTTAGGATCATCAACATTATGATTAATCATTACATTTTGCCCTATTTTTAAGCTATTAAATTGTAAAAGATGCTTTGCTCGTGGTCTTACTGAAGATTCAGGTACATTAAAAGGTGGAGCTTTTTCATCAAATTCCCATTGTAGATTATAAATGACTTTATCTTCTTTTTTAAAGATTTTTAATATTATTGCCTCAAACCAAGCTCCATAAGTTTGGTCAAGACAATCTACTGCATCTCCAACTTTATAATATAAACTTTCTGCTTCAATCAATTCTTCTTCTTTATTAGAATTATCTATAATTTCTTTTTCGTAATTAGAATTAGATGTAGTAACACTATTACTTGAGGTAGCTTTATTTTCTATATCATTAATTTGTACTTTCACCATTAATTGAATTACATCATTCAAATTAACATTATAATCATATAATTTGTAACCATTTTCCAATTGTTTTCCACGAAAAAATAATCGTTGTAAATCTGCTTTTATATGTAACTCTTTTTCAATTTCATGCTGTAAAATAATAATAATCTTTAATAATGTTATTTAATTAAGATTTTAATATTTCTAGTAACATTATTTTAATTAAATATTTTAACTAAATATTTTACAAAAGTAAGAATAATATTTTAGATAAATAAAAGTAGTTTATATTAATTTATATATTTGTTTTAATTTTTATGTATATATAACTATATATTATTAAAATATTAAACAAAATTTTTAATAAAATAATAGAATATTTTATAAAATTATATATATGTTTTTTACCCCAAAATCTAAATATTAAAGATTAATATCAAATATATAATATAGTAAATATCAGAAATAAAATTATATAAAGTTATATATAAAAAAATTGTTATCTTGTTTGAAAATATATTTATATATTTTTTTACTTTATATACCTTAAAATCTTCTACTTCCGTCAATTTGGAGATAGTCAATATCGCCTCCTGTTTACCATCCATTGTTCTCACTTTAACGTACATTTTGATATATTTATTTATTCAAAAGAACTCAAAAAATTTGTGATCTATATTTGACGCATCGATCTACGAATGCACAATTAAAATTATAATTTATTTCATTAACATCAACAAGAGTATAAGTAAACTGAATCAATAATCACTGTCACTCAACAGTGGTCTCACCACTTGTTGGCATTTAGTAAAATGAGAAATTTGGCGGGAATAAATTGTGGAGACATATGGCGGAAGAAAAATGGAATAAGAAAGAAACTCTATTTAGATACCACGCACATACTTTTCTTTTCATTGGTGATTTTTTTTTGAGCCTAAAAATAAAATCATAAAATCCATATTTAAAATTTTATTATTACAATTTTTAAAAATGTCAATATATTAAAAAAATAAAGTATTATTTTTATTTATATTTTATTTTATTTTATTTAAATTTAAAATCTTAAATAATATTGAATGACGAAAAATATATTGAAAGTTTATTTTATTAGAATATCATCGAAAATATAAATAATTTAATATAAATAATATTAAAAATTATTTGTAATAGAAATAAATTACAACAATAATGAAAAAGGAATTATTTAATATATTTTTTGTATTTATAAAAATGCTTATTTTAATTATTTATTTAAAATATTCTTATTTTTTAAACATATACATTTAAAAAATTAAAATTATATTAATATAATATATATAATTATATAAAAAAAATATTACAAAAATTCATAGGTAAAAATCTACACAATTTTAATACTTACTTTTTTAGTAATTATGTGAACAATTATATTTTTGTGATTTTGACTCCATATTGACAAAATTAATCGAAATATATATTTTCTTTTCATATAAATTGTTAAAAACTTAAAATTCTTATATATATTTTGATAAATTGTACACTGATAAGAAATTAATATTTTAATAAATTGTACACTAAAAAAAAATGAATTTTTCAAGATTAATAATTTCTAATTATATATAGGAACTAAAAAATTTGTCATTTTTAATTCAAAAATTAATTTTCTAAATCTTAAAAATTCCTTATATAATTTATATATAATTACAATTCCACAAGAAATTTTTTTTCAATTCATAATTAAATACATATACTACATATTAATATAAATATTAATATAAGTCTATATGTAAATAAAATTTTTAAATTCGAGTTCAATTTTTATAGAAAATATAACATAATCAAATGCTAAAAATTGTATACAAATTATACAATTTATATATTATTCAAATTATAATTTTCATCATCGAAGATTCAAGAAAATATCTTTTTGGAAACATGAAAAAGAAGTAATTTCAATTGTAAATTATTTAAAAACTTTGGAAATACAGAAAATTACAATCCTGAAATATCTATACATAACATACATACAATTTATAATTAATATATATCATTATAAATAAAACTATTATCAGTTTTCTTCATATATAAAAATATTAGAAAAAGATTGTGTAAAGTTTATGATAAAATTACAATTTATACAAATATAAAATATAATAATATGTAAATATATATATTAAAATGTATTTATACATAATTATACCTATACTAGTTTTTAAGATCAAAAAAAATTTTTTTTAAAAAAATTCTTGAAATTGTTATTCTTATAAACATCACGAATATTTCACTTATATAATTATATATTAATAATATATATGTATAATTATATATTAATAATATATATGTATAATAATATTAATAATATATAATTTACAATAACTCGTTACATGCCTATGATTGATATAATTATGATAAAACTTTTATATATATATATAATTAATATATATTTAAAATATAATTATATATATATATAGCATAAAGCGGAACTTTAAAATAGCTACTATTTTTACAAAACTAATTATTTTTGCAATTTTTATAATTACATATTAACAAGTAATTTTTGTAACTTACAATCATGAAAATATTATATCATTCACTCATAAACATAAATTCACAGTTTCTGCTCTCTTAAAAAAATTACTCAGCAATCGAAACTTATATAATTACATAGTAATATATAATTAATGTAATTTATGTAAATTACAATTGTAATATGATTAACAGTTCCATCATTTAATATCTAATAGAAAATGTTGTTCCATTTGTGGCACAACCTATGGCTAAGCAGTACAATATGTATCGGTACAAAATTTAAAACCAGAAAATTTTTATAACTTTTGACAAAATCAATATTAATCCAATATATCCAATATAATCCATAATCATTTACAATTATTTGATACTTTATGACTAGAAAAGTAAAACAATTTATAAAAATATTCATTTAAATTTTGTGCAATATTATACAATTAATACTTAATATGTAAAAATGTGTTACAAAATATTTGAAATTTCAAATTATATAAAAAATTTAAAAATGAGATGATTTTATGTACCAATACACAGAATACTTGCTGATATGAAATTAAACTGCCAATATAAAACTATTCAAATTAATTTCTTTATTCAATGGAAGACTTCCGTTAAATTTCTTGATTGTCTTCTCCAGTCTCATTATCTACAAATTCAACATGTGTGAATGGAAAATGGCCAACCTTGCCATGCAATTCACCTTCCCATTGACCATTTATATTAGTCTTTGTAACTTTTATCACATCTCCAACTTCTAATTTTAGAGCAGTTTTATCATATGCATTTGGTACTCTTGCTTGTTTTACTTTTGCAAAAGCAGGTAATGTTCTCTGAATATTCGATCTACGAGTGGTCCCTTGTCCACTTTCTGGATAAGACATTTGAGAAGCAGAAATTTGAACTGAATTTATAGTAGAATTTATAGTTGAACTTCCTCCACTTTCTGGACGTGAATTATTTTCAATCACAGGGTGATTGTCTTCTTCATACTTTTGAACATATGGAACTGGAACTGAACCAGTTTGACCTAGAGCATTTCTAGCAGTCCACCATTGCTCTTCATCTTTTGATATAATTGTAAGAATTTCTCCTAAAAGAAATTTTTATATTTATTAATTTAATTAAATTATTAATAATATACTAATGCAAAAATATCATATATAAATTTAAATTCAAAATAAAAAAAATTTAATATTAATATTACATATAATAATAATATTACATATATTACAAATAAAAATTAATACAAACCTTTTCTAAAAGGTAAATCATCAGGATCATTGCCCTCAAAATCATACTTTGCTACTACCCTCTGTGTTCTTTTAGGTGCAGGCCTGATCAATGGCGTTGTGTCCAAATAATGTAATTTGTAAAAAGCCAAAAGGTTGGGAATATCAGGAAATGTTTGATCTCCAATCCGATAACGTATTTGGTCACCCTGTTGAATTTTATTTATAATATAATGGCTAACCTTGCTGTCTTCTCGTACACATAGAACAAAATCTCCTTGTATTGATGTGCTGTCACGTACTAAGAATACGCCACCTTCTTTCTCACCCATAAGTAAATCCGAGGCATCTTGTCGTGACATTGCACCAAAATACCAACTAAAAGAATATAATTCTATAAAATTTAATATTAATCTTATAAAAACAATACAAATTTAAAATTTTGTACACAAAATATTATAAATTTATAAAATTTGGAATTATATATACATATATATATATATATATATATATATATATTGTATTATATGTATTATATGTATAATCAAAATATTAAAAAATATATATCTATTGCTTTAAATAAATTGTTACATTTGTTATTTTAAATTTATTTTAAACATATCAAATCATTTAATATAATTTCTAAAACTTAACAACTTAACAATTTTTCTTCAAAATTAGTAAAATTAAATTTCAAAGATTAATTGTTAACACAACAATACTTATTAGAATAAGAATTAATCTTATGATGCAAAATAACATGACCAAAAATGTCTCTTTATTTACCTGGACTTGTCATATTGATCGAAAGTAGCAGCCATTGTTTTAGCAAGTAATCGACTAATCGGCAGCGTTGCCAGAAGAATTCCCTACCGTAGGGAAAAGGTGACGTCACATAAAGTTATATACATTAATGCGACTTGAGTACACCATGCGAGAATTAGTGGTACTAAATCTTCACATTCCACACATCCAATGTTATAAATTCAAATTAAAAGTCCCTAAGTTTCCTTCAACAATTCTAACCTTTTTTTTTCTATTACTTTAAATATCATTAAATTCTCTATCATGATTCTTACAAAGCCATTTTTCTTCTAGCAATCAGTATTGCTAAAAGAATTTTCTATTCGAGAGAAAAATTGTTATCATATAGAACTTTTATATTAATGCAATTTGAACACAGCATATGAAAATTAGTAATATTATTATGTATATTATCTATTTACTACTATAACTACTACTTATAATATGTATATGCGGAACAAATATTTCATCTATAACTTTCCAATATATATATCTATTTTTTTGAATGTATTCAATTCGTTGAAATTCAAACAGATTTGCATTTTTTTCAAAAACTTCTTATTAGCAGCAAATATCTACATAATGAATATGGTAGCGTCACATTGCATTTGTCAGTATTTTTTATTATCATTCTTTTTTTTTAATCATTTTTTTCTCACTGACAACTCAACTATCAATTGATAATAACAATATTGACAATTCCATTAATCCGTTATTTTCTAGAAATTGTATATAATCAGTAATCAAAATAATTTACTTATATATACTGTCAATAGTACATTCTTAGAATATTCTCTTTTTAAAATGAAAATCAGCACATTGCACTTAAATTTATGATATATTTATTCTTTTTTAAGAAAATATTATCACTTTTTTTGTGTAATAATTATTTCACTTCCTGTTATATTTTCTTAATGAAAATACTTTTCAGCGAGACGATTGAAAGGAAATAGATGCCGCCACAAAATATTTTCAGTTTCATTCGTTTTTTTGTTCTCTTCTTTATAATAAAGAAATTAAAATTTTTTATTTAAATTATATTCTCTTCAATATTTATCAATATAAATTGAGAAGTATTAACATATATTTTAATAATTTTTAATAAAATAAATTTTAAATTTATATTTTCTTTTATTATTAATAAAAATATTATTTTTATTTTTTTGTAAAATATTAAAATGATCAGGCTTAAAAAAATATAACTTGATCTTCTATAGATTTATTATTATAGATTAATTCTTCTTTTCTTTCACTCATTTTTTTTTATGAAATTGATATCATTTTCGTTCTAAATGTTCCCTTTATCCTAAACTATTATTACACGTTATAATATACAATGAAAAATAAAATATGATATTAATATAGTTCTAAAGTAAAATGATGAACTCATATTATACAGCAAAGTTATCGAGCTAATTGTGTAATTAATGCTGCACACATTTCAAAGAATTCCATTGTATGATGACCTGTTGTTTGAGGTGGTGGAATTGTAGGATCTAAAGAATAATTATATTATATTTATGTTGAATTATAAAATTATATTAATAAATTATTATTAATAAATAAATATCAACATCAATTTCAATTCTTTACCTCGTCCAATATCTTCTTCTTCATTTGATAAAGATTTAAAATCTAATAAGTAACTTTTATAATCAACCTGATAAAGTTGTAATGACATCTTACTATATCTATCTGTTAATTTATTTTTTTGACGAACTCTAACACTGTAAGCATTTATAATTTTCCATTCCTACAAACATAAAAAATTAAATTTATTATTTCAAAAATTAATTAAAAGCAAAATCTTACAAAATTAAGAGCTTTCATTGCTCGATAAACTTCATTCATAATATCATTTGGTTTAGATTGTGAACGAATTCCTAAATGCCATTTAGCCCGTTTTATTGGTGTACCACGAGCACCTTGTGTTGAAGATGATGTGCTTCCTTGAGAACTTTGTCTTTCTCGTAATGCTAAGATACAATATAAATTCATTAAATGTTATAAATTAAAATAAACAAGAAAGTAAATAAATTTTCAAATTATATATTTATAAGTTTTTTTATAAATTTTTAAGTTTATCTTCTTACGTGCTATTCTTTCTGGATGTGGTCTCAGAGGACTACTATTAGTATCATTGGGACTGAAAGCAACAGGAGGTGGACTAGAAGCTACATAAAAATCTTTTAATTCTGCTTTAGCAGCTTCATCTGCAATTCTTTTATTATCTATTATCAAGTGATAAGCAATTGCCAGTTGATCGTGAGGATCTCCACCTAATAATGCAGAATGAACTTCAGCTTCTTTTACATTAAATTTTTCGCAAACTTCATTTACTGCGTCTATATCGATTACAGAAGAGTCTTGTTCAACAGGCGACGGAAATAAATATGAAGGTAAATCCTTTTGAAACCATTCATGTTTCCTAATTCAAAAATATTTATAACTGTTTTATTATAAAAGATTTCAAAAAAGATTTAAAAGAAATTCTTAAAGAAGATATATAAAACATAAAATAAAATATATAAATAAAAATTTAATATACTTGATATCTTCAATAGTTGCTCTTTTCATAGGATCCACTTGCAACATATGACATAAAAGACTTACAACACTTTTATTCAAATATTCTGGGATAGGGAAAACTCCAGCTAAAATAAATATAAAATATTTTTATATGAATTATTAAAATTAAAGATTATATATACTGTTCTTACTTACATTTAATTTTACGGAAAAGTGTTGGTACATGTTCATCATCAAATGGTAAAGTACCACAAAGTAAAGCATAAAGTATTATTCCACAAGACCAAATATCAACTTCAGGACCAGCATATAATTTACCTGAAATTACTTCTGGTGCTGCATAATTAGGAGAACCACAGGAAGTACGTAAGAATTCTCCATCCATCATCATATTTGATAAACCTTTAATAAAATCATTAAATTATAATATATATATTCAAATAAAAACAATCAAAAAGTCTTATTTAAAATATTGTAATTAATTAATATTAATGTACAAATATTTATAAAAGTTCAATTTTTATTATTTTTTTAAAATTAGTATTAAAAATAAAATATTAAAAAGTATTCATTTTTTGAATCATAGATATCTTGTATTTTAAATAAAAATTTTATTTATAAATATCATAAAATATCAACTATATTAAAGTACCAAAATCTGCTATTTTTACATGTAGATTGTGATCTAACAAAAGATTTTCTGGTTTTAAATCTCGATGAACTATCATATGTCTGTGACAATAATCAACACCAGAAATAATCTGTTGAAAAAATCTTCGTGCCTCATATTCCTTTAGTTTGCCATGTTTCACAATATAATCAAATAACTCTCCACCTGATACATATTCCATTATCATAAATATATCTGTAGGTGTGCTTATAACTTGATATCTAAATCATAAAAAATATTTATATCCTTTGATATTCAATATCTCACAGTGCATTGTATGCATTATTATTACATACAATTTAATAATATGAGGATGTCTGAAAAGTTTAAGATTTTGTATTTCTCTTCTAATCTTTCCAACCACATCTAAACTTTTGATCTTCTGACGATTCAAAATTTTCACAGCAACTTTGTGTTTTGTTAATACATGTTCTCCAACTGAAAAAAATAAGTTAATAATTTTTTATAAATTACATAATAATTTATATTTTTTAATACTATATACGTAATTATAAAATATGTAAATATATTTTCATATTATCAAATTAATATAATAAAAATTTATTTAAAAAATAATAATTTATACATACTTTTTACTTTACCAAATGTTCCAACACCTAGTGTTTGTCCAAGGGTATAATGGCCTATCTTAACAATTGGTTGTGGTTGGTTAGATGGAATTTTTTCAGACATTGTTACAAATTCTACAATATATAATAAACATTACTGATTAAAACAAAAATAAAATAATTATCAGACAAATTTAGATATCATTTTTTAAAAACTTTAAAATAACATACGAAAAGTTATAATTAAAAACTATCTAATTCATATAGAAAAATGTCATAATTGATCATTTTTGACACTTTACTGCAATTACTTATTTATATTCCACAAATATAATAAATTTTTTAAAACTTAAAGCAAGGTCATAGAATATAAATGGAATTATTAAAGTTATAATTATATTATGATAAAAAGCAATTATATTGAAAAATATCAAAATAAAAACTCATTAAAACTAGAAACAAAATAATTAACAATTCGATCACCTGATATTATTTACATATTCTGATACTTATTATTTTGAAGATCACTACATAAATGTATAACACGATATGTTAAATCATTTATCATAAAATTCAAAGATTAGAAAACTACTAATAAATTTCATGTTAATATTTTTGATTCATAGAGAAATCAAAACCTTAGATCGTTAAAATATTTTATGTTAGTACATATATATATATATATATATATATATATATAGCGCTATCATGAATTGAACTGGCGGCTTATATAAAATTTGTTTTTCAATGCATTATATGAAATTTGTAAAGAGAAATTACATTATAAAATTTTTTATTTCACTTTTAAATTTTTTAATTATATCTAAAAGTTGTTTTAATTTAATTTGTTTTTAAATTCTAATTTTTTTTTATTTTTTTTTATTCATTAACAATTTTTCGAAAATAAAAGTTTATTTAAAATAAAATTAATGTATATAATCATTAAATGATTATTATTTTTATGATATTCTTTCTTAATCTTAGTAGTCAATCTATTAAAATAATGGAAATTATATTCTTTTTTTAGGAAGATTCAAGATCGAATAGTGTAATCACGTTATAAATAAAATTGATTTTTTGTTTTATCTTCAAGTAAAATTTGTTAATTATATTACCATTCAGATGTCAGAAAAAGAAAGTCTTATCAAATATTTTCTCAGTGGCGGTTTTGGTGGAATATGTACTGTTATAGTGGGTCATCCTTTAGACACGATAAAAGTAAGGTTATATTAATTGTAAAAATTAAAAACATAAAAAATATAAAATTAACAAGAATTATTAACTTTTTATAAATATATAATTAATATGTACAATTCATGATATATTTTTATTTATATAAATTCTGTTATAAATTACATAATTAATTAATTATTTTTTAATTAATTAAGCAATTATACATATAATAACAATATTAATAATTAAAAAATAATAAAATATTTCTAAATAAAACAATACAAATTTTATGATTTACAAAAAATTTATCTTCATTATTAAAGTGCAGCAAAATTTATTAAATAAAATTATTAACTAAAATATAAAATTTTTCAAATATTTTTATTATTTATTAATATTTTTTATTGTTTAAAAATTGGAACAACAAAATATGTCTTTGCAGCTTTTCTAAATTAAAATAAATTTTTTTTTTAAAAAAATAAATAGAAATTTGGGGTAGAATAGATATTTTAAAGTAAAATGTAAAAGATAATCCCCCATTTTTCAGCTGCACCTAATCTAATTGTAAGTAGGATTATTAAGTCCTACTTAGGATTGAACTGTCTTTTTCTGAAGAGGAGTGGCCCTAATAATGGATATGTTAGGTAAAAGAAAGATTGTGTGTGCTGATAATATTAAAGATACTATATATAATTTTTTATTTAAACAATTTATTTTCCATTATAGGGTTTTCATCATTTTTGTATTTTTTAAAATCTTTATATTAATGAATTAGTTATATATAGATATTATGATTTATTATTAAAATTGTTTTTTATTTTTATATATCATAAATTAAAATCTATAATAAATATTATATTATAATAATGAAAAATTAAAATTAAAATAAGAAAATAATTTATATATTTATAATAAGAATATTTAATAAGAATTAATACTTTTTATACTTTACTTTTTGTTCATTTTACTATAAATTTTTTATTTTTTTCAATTTATTATTGTTAATAATAAATTTTTGTTAATAATAATTAATAATAGTTTATATTAAAAGTGCTTTAAAAAAGATATTTTAACAGGTTCGTCTTCAAACTATGCCTATACCAGGCCCAAACGGAGTGCTTTTATATAATGGAACTATAGATTGTGCTAAGAAAACAATTGCAAAAGAAGGAATACGTGGATTATATAAGGGTTGGTATAAAATATATAATATACATAAAATATATAATATACTTATTACATGATATATATTACTTATAAATAAATATTTTTTATTGACTGTTATTTCTTATTAAAAAATATTTATAAGATTATCTTGAATACTTTTTTTTAGGTATGGGTGCACCTTTATGTGGTGTGGCTCCAATATTTGCTATAAGTTTTTATGGATTTGGATTGGGCAAACAATTAGTACAAAGAAATAATGAGGAATTAACTCCTTTTCAACTGTTTTATGCTGGTGCATTTAGTGGTATCTTTACAACTATTATAATGGCTCCTGGTGAAAGAATAAAATGTCTCTTACAAACACAACAAGGTATAAAATCTAAATATAGTGGTCCAATTGATTGTATGAAACAACTTTATAAGGAAGGAGGGATTAAAAGTATTTATAAAGGTACCTGTGCTACTCTTTTAAGAGGTAGGTAATATTATTTATTTTTCTATTTTATTTTTAAATGATTTAAATATAAAGATTACGAAAATAGAAATTGTTAATTGCAATTCTTTTTTATTCTGAATTTCTATTGTTATATCTAGCTATACACATATTATATATAAAACTAAAAATGATATATTAAAGAGCAATCTTATAAAAATTGTTTAAAAACAAATTAAACTTCTAATTTTGTTTTTTTTTTATACACACATATATTCATTGCAAATTAAAAAATTATATTAGCTAACTAATAATATTATCTTCATAATTATATTTTCCAATTGAAGACTTTTTTAAATGTTTTTTTTTAAAAGTTCTGCATTGCAAACCACCTTTACGTAATGCATGAAAAACTCCCCAATTTTTCAACTTCTTAGGAGTTGAACATCTTGGTGCTGTTTCTCTTAATCTATTTACCTATTTTAAAATAAATTATAATGGTATTCTTTTTCTATGTCTAATTTTCATTTAAGAAGCAAGAAGCTTTTTTGTACTCACCAAGTGAGGATTCCATGTAAACATTAGACAAGTGCAATTCCATGGATTGCCATCTAATCTTACAATTGCAAAATCTACTTGTTGTTTGCTTGGAATCCGAAGCATTTTAAAAAAATCTATAGGTAATGAAGTTAGTTTATTTTGTGAAAGAATAATTTCCCTAAGTTGTTTCTGTTGTTCTACTCCAAATAAACCAGGTGGAATGAATTCTAATTCATTATTTGATAAATCTATGCGTTTAACATTTTGCAAACCATAAAATGCGTCCATGGATATTTTACGAATATGACAGTTACTTAAATTAAGATCTATTAACTTGATTAAATCTATAAATGCGTCAAATTCGATACTTGAAATATTTCCTTGTACTTTTAATTGTAATAGCTCGGGCATTCCTTGAAATATAAAACGTTCCAAAACTAGTATTTTTAAATTATACAAGTATAATGTTTGAAGATGACATAATCCCAAAAATGAATTTTTTTGTAGATATAATTTCGAATCTTCGCCTCCCAAATAGAGATTTAGTGTTGTATTCATGATTTCAAAAGTACTGAAATCAGAAGATTTTGTATTAATTTTACACTTTATTATTAATCATTAATTTATGAACTATCATTTTATTTCAAGAAAAGAAAAAAAATGTATTAAAATACCTTGGAAATATAGAATCCAAAGGATTTTCTCGAAAGTCTGCAATTTTCAACATTGGAAAAGGAGGAAAAGATAACTCTGACAAAAAAGTTAGATTATTTCTTCTTAAGTCAAGATTTTCAAGCATTAATAAACCAGCTAAATCTACACTTTTAAGGGTTAACAATTGATTATTTGCAAGTGATAATACTTTTAAATTTGGAGTACCATAAAAACAAAATTCTGGAATGAATTTTAAACTATTTTTCTCTAATGAAAGATGAATAAGACTATTTAAACCATCAAACATATGCCACGATATATCTTTTAAATCACAATCATAAATTCTTAAATGTGTTAAAGCTCCTAAACCAGTAAAAAGTCCAACAGTTTCTTTGTAACCTTCCATTTCTTGTTTGTATACATCATATGGAAGTATTTCCTTATCATCACTTTCTCCATTGTTTTGTTGACTTAAAAATATCAATCTATGTCCTATACTTTGACTAATATTATTTAATAATTGTTTATTTTCATTTTCGTCATTAGTAACAGTATTCATTGGTTTAATTACAAGATTAGCTTTGTTTCTTTTTGTTGCACTCAAACTTGTTAATTTTACTCGTTCTAAATTTAAGTAAAGAAGATTTAATCCTAATGGATATAATGAATCAACAGACAAAATAATTCCTCCTAATTTCTCTTGTTCCACAGTCAAATTCTTTTTTAGAGATTCATTATAATCTATGCCCTGAATATCTAAAGATATTAAATCTGTAAAACGTTGAAATGTTGTAGATTGTAAACGAATCTCAAAGTTACCCAAGCCAGATTGAAGAATTGTAAACACCTAAAACAAAAATTTCAATTATATACATATATATATACATATCATTTTCAAATATTATAAAATTTTATTCAAATTCATAATATCAACCTGAATATCTGATGGAAGCTTATCCAAAAGTTCTTCATATTCTTCGGCAATAACGCAAATTGCTACTTTTAAAAATTCGGGAATCATAGAATGATCAATGTTTAATCCAAGTTCAAACTTAGCATCGTTACTTAAGTTCTATTAAGAATAAAATAATATTACATTTCAAAAAAAAAATATAACTATATTTTCATACCTGATCTTGATTTGTTTTTATCCATCGGTGTAAAGGTAAATCAACAAATTTTTGTACTTCACATGAACAACCTGGTGGACATTTTGCTTCCCAAATATCGCCGATATCGATTATTTGTCCAAAGCACTCATTCTAAACATATATTTGTTTATTAATCTATTATTGAATTAAATTTACATATAAAGTCACTTTTAAGAATCTCTATTGTAAAGAATATATATACGAGATATGAGAAAAATAATCTTTTTATCTTACACTTCTTCAGTTCAAATAAAGAAAAAAATTATGTACCAGCAAAGTGAAGACAAGTATTAGAATAACCATCATAATCAATTAATTAAAATTTGAGAATTGAAGAAAAGCAGATTAAAACCAATAATGGTATGATGGTTTGAAGGAAACTGAATTTTGTTAATTGTTATCTGTCTGCCTTGATGTGCCATATCAAACAGGATGCCTCCTATCTAGCAACCTACACATACTATTTTTGCTTTATAATTATAAATAATATTCCCTCATGATGCTTTAATTATATATATTCAGGTGGAACTTGATCTTCCTATTAATTTCATAAATATTTTTTATGATATGTTATTTTTATGAAATATTATATGTAAATATTATTTGTATTTTTAAGTTATCTCATAATGCAGATAATATTTATATTTAGCTAACATTTTTTTAAATCTAATTATCAGATGTTCCTGCCAGTGGAATGTATTTTATGACATATGAGTGTTTAAAAAAGTGGATGTCTTCTGAAGAAGGTAAACTAGGAATACTTCAAACAATTATGGCTGGTGGTTTTGCTGGTATTACAAATTGGATTGTTGGAATGCCACCTGATGTATTAAAAAGTCGTTTACAAAGTGGTATATATTGTATTTTTTTTTCTATTTTAATTTATTATTTAATTAATTATTAATTTTTAAATTTTCAAATAATATAAGCTATATTAAATTTTCAAATAATATAAGCTATATTAAATTTTCAAATAATATAAGTTAAAAGAAATTATTAAAAAAATTAATTAAAATTTTATATTATTTACATTATTTAGCTCCAGATAGTACTTTTAAAAACGGAATTCGAGATGTTTTTATAATTTTAATGAAAGAAGAAGGACCAAAGGCATTATATAAAGGATGTGTGCCTGTGATGCTTCGTGCATTTCCAGCAAATGCAGCATGTTTTCTTGGATTTGAGATTGCTATGAATTTCTTGAATTGGGTACTGTGATATGTATAATTTTGTATATAGTAAGTTTTTAAGAAAGAAAAGTAGTAATTCTATTGTCAATTAAATGTTAAATTAGTAAACTTAGTACATTTGTAAAATATTCTATATTTCTAAATCAAAGATAATAATACATTTTTATATATTATTCATGTGTTATAGAATGTATAATGAATTTGCAATGATGTTATCTATTTTTTTATAATTATTTATGCTATATAAATTATTTTTTAGATATAGTTCATATGATATGTAATAATCTTTATATCATCTTTTTATATTGTTGAATCTATATTTTATAATTTATAATATATTTTTTATAAGAATAAATAAATAATTGATTTAAAGCATTATTATTAATTGCAAAATTTTTTCCGATTTATTTTTTTAAAGAACTTTAAAGAAAAAAAAATTGAAATGAATATTTATTTTTATAATTTTTATAATTTTAATAATTTTCAATAAACATAATAATCATAACATATAAAAATATATAATATATAATATAATATTTAAAAATCTATAAAAATTATTTTAATTTTTAAATACATATTTTAATTATTTCTTTAAAATAAGATTGTTAATAATAATGAAGTAATTATTAATATTATTTGATGATCATAAAAATTTTATTTTGTTTAAGTTTATAAATGTATTATCAGAAAGTTATAACACTAATCTTATTCTATTTATCGAACTGAAATTTGCAAATTGAAAATTTTGAAGTGTTCCTAAATCTATCAGTATAAGTTTTTATCAGTTTTATAGTAAAAGAATTATCTTAAATTATTGTAAAAGTTTATGTAATTTATAAAAATGATATTGAAATCAGTTATATTAATTGGTGGTCCATCAAAAGGTCTGTATTTTATGTAATATAAATATATATAATTATTATATATAATTATTATTTTTGTACAAAAATATAACCTCAAATATAATTTTATAAATTCTTATAATTATATAATAATATTAAAAGTTAATTTATAATAAGTATTTATAATAAATAGAAATAATTCACTTAATGATGTTTCAAAATCAAAAATATATTTTGCAGGTACTAGATTTAGACCTCTTTCGTTAGATATACCAAAACCATTATTTCCAGTTGCTGGATTACCAGTAATACAGCATCATATAGAAGCATGTTCTAAAGTGGATAATCTTAGTGAAATATTGATAATTGGATCATATCTTGCAAGTGATTTATCTCAATTTATTGAGGAAATGATAAGCACTTATAAAATAACTATTAGATATCTTCAAGAATTTATACCATTGGGAACAGCTGGAGGTTTATATCATTTTCGTGATCAAATACGTTCTGGTGGACCAACATATTTTTTTGTAATGAATGGTGATGTATGTGCTGATTTTTCTTTGCAAGAAATAGTAGAATATCATAAAGAAAAACAAGCATTATTTACTATCATGGCTACTGAAGCAACAAGACAACAATCTTTGAATTATGGTTGCATGGTTCTTGATAAGGAAGGAAAAGTTGCTCATTATGTAGAAAAACCATCAACATTTGTTTCAACTTTAATTAATTGTGGGATCTATCTTGCTTCATTAGATATCTTTCAAACTATGGCTGATGCTTTTTATGCAGGACAAAATCAAGAGAATTTTATGTAAGATATTTTAGAAATGTTATTAAAAAATTATATAACATAAAAGATTTTGATTATACATTATTTAATAGCCAGTTCAATGGTAATGGTAAAGATCCAGCTCATATATCTCTTGAACAAGATATATTAATGCGCTTAGCTGGAACTGGTCGTTTATTTGCTTTACCTGTTTTAAAATGGTGGTCACAAGTTAAAACTGCAGGTTCTGCTATATATGCCAATCGTCATTATTTAGCTTTATATAAAGCAAAACATCCAAACCGTCTTGCTTCTGCAATTAATGGACCTTGTCAGATTATTGGTGATATTTATATTCATCCTTCTGCTTCTGTTCATCCAACTGCAGTGGTAAAAAAGCCATAATTATATATTTTTTGTATAAAAATAATTAAATAATTTTGTAAGACAATAATTGATTTATAGCTAGGTCCAAATGTAAGCATAGGTCCAAATGCTATCATTGCTCGAGGTGTTAGGATAAGGGAATCAATTATATTAGCTAATGCACACATTCAACCACATTCCATTGTTTTACACAGTATAATAGGAAAGAGCAGTTATATAGGAGAATGGGCAAGAATAGAAGGAACACCTTGTGATCCTAATCCTGATAAACCATTTGCAAAAATGGAAAATTTACCTCTCTTTAATACTAATGGAAAACTGAATCCTTCTATAACAATACTTGGTAAATAATTTATTAATTGATAATTCATTAAACAAGGAAAAAAAATCTTATATATATATATATATATATATATATATATTTTTACTCTTTATATTTCAGGTACTAGTGTACGTTTGGCAGCAGAAAAAATCGTATTAAATTCTATTGTCTTACCGCACAAAGAACTCACTAGAAATTTTAAAAATGAAATTATTCTTTAAGATATATCTTAAATTATACAATATAATTCAAAATAATATATTTCTATTAACTTATTTATATATATTTATATATAATTGTATATATATTAATTTATATATACAATTTTTCTATCATATGGTTTTATTTTATAAATTTGTCAATTTAAAATAATAACTTAAGCACAAAAGTTATTTAAGAAACTGGTATTATTATGAATATAAATATTTTTTTAATAATTGTATTATTTTCAATTATTGGTTTATATATTAATATAAATATATGAATATACAATGTGTAAAAAGAAAAAAAAATATATGTTTTCAACATTTTTTACTTATATATTTATTTCTCTATTTACATTTTTATAACTTAAATTTGTAAATTAACTAAAAAAAACTAAAAAACTATTAGTAATTAATGATAAATATTTTTTATATGGAAATATATTTATTAAGAAAAATGTTGAAATAATTTAAATAATATTTTGTAAGAGTATATATAATATATATTATATTATTATAATTTAAGTATAGTAATTCCTTTTTAAATAATATATCATATAATTTTTTAATTGGCAGTTTTATTCCCATTTAAAAGGAAGAGTGCATAATTCGATATGTATGCTTCTGAAATTTATTGGCATTTAAATATAATTTAGAGAAAAATTTAATTTTTATAATTTTGTTTTTTTTTTTTATAAAAATTGTTTCATCATTCATGATTTTATTGATAAAAATAAGATCAAATATATATATTATACACATGATTATTTGCGTTTTGAATTTGTACATAATATTATCATCATCATTTACAAGAAACAAATATAATAGTATTAAGTAAGATTTATGTTTAACTCTATTGTATATACAAATATTATTTAGTTAATATTTAAACTTAGAAGTATTGACATAAGAAAATTAAAAAATACGCACGTATATAACAAATAATTTTATAAAAATATATCATATACACAGTCTTTTCTTGCTTTAAACTTTTGATTGGCTATTATACAATTCTTAAAGTATTATATCAATAAAAACAAGTTTCAAAGCTTTGTTTCATGTTTAACCCTGTTTCTAAACAATTGACTTGGTCGAAGCAAACCTTGAGAATTATTTAAATAAGAATTTCCAGATATGATAACAGCTGCTGTAGAATCTGAATTTAAAAATTCGTTTTTATTATCTTCAAAAGTAAATCGTTGCTGCTGTTGTTGTGTTTCACCATGATTATTAGATCCATGATTGTTTTTTATACGATAATGTATTTCAGAATCTGTCTCTTCTTCATTATCTGCACTATCTACATCTCCTAAAAAATATATTAAACATTTAAGCATATTTTTTTATAAAATTTTAAATAAAATAGTAAATCTTAATAAATTTTTATATAATATTTAAAACAATAATTTATCCAAATTATAATAAATTTAAATAAACTCACCATCTGAACTATTAGTAGAAGGTAAGTAAAAACGTGAAGCTGAAATTTTGTTATTTCCTACTCGTCGTTCACGTTCTCTGGCAGTGTTATTTGGATGATGATATTTAAATTCACGGGGTAGAGTATAACTTCGAGGTAATGATATTTGACTACCTTCCATGTCACTAAGTTCTCCTTCTACCTCCCCTTCACCTTTAGAACTTTCTTCTCCACCGTTTTGACTTAAATAATAATAATAGTAATCATAATAATATAAATATAATAATAAAATTATTATTATAATATAATAATACAACATATAAATAAATATAGATAAATACATATTTATGTATATTTTTTTAAAATTTATTTGTTGATATTTTAATAATTTTTTTAATTTTAAAAAATGAAGTTCATTAGATTTTAAATCTTAATTACCGAGGATTAACATGAGAAGGTGTCCAATGTGAATAGTGATGAGGAAGACATCTGGGTGCAAGTAAAATTTCTGGAGTATCCGCTCTTTCTCTTTGTGTTGTTCTCCAGGAATTTGAAGGATGAATATTTGGATAATAGGAAGAAGATGGTGGCGGAGGTAAGAGACAATGCATTTTCACAGGTGGCCACGAAGATAAGTTTATTCCTCCATTTTGATCACCTACTGATGGTTCAGATGTAAATAAAGGAGAGCTAGGAGAAGTGTGTAACTTTGTATTAGGAGGTGGTTGCTGAGTTGATGCAGGTGATGATGAGAATGACGATGCCGAAGCCGAAGGTGGAGGAAATAATTTTCCTTCTTTTATTTCTTCTTGTATAGCTCTTAACTCGCGTAATTGTTGTTGCTTTTTCTCTTGAAGTTTTTCCCTTATTAAATTTACATTTAAAGAACTGGCAGTTCCAGAATCCGTTCCAATTTTTTGTTCATTCATATGACCATTCTACCTCAAAATAATGAATATTAATGTAAAGAAAAAATATGAATATATAAAATTGGAATAAAACTCAATTTTATGTAATATTACTTTTGTTTCTTTTTTCTTTTATAATAAAACAATTCAATATTACCTGTATTACATTGG